CTGGGTCTGTAAAGGTTGAAAACCCTTTAATACATACCATTCAAAGGTTTGGGTTCCATAACATTTTTAAATGTTTTTGAAAGAATGCTCTTATGCTCACTGCCTTTATTTGATAAAACATACAGTAAAGACAGTGAAAATAAGAAATATTTCCAGGAATTAAAATAGCCGTTTTCTATTATATTATATTTTTAAATGTAATTTATTCCTGTGATGCAAAGCTGAATTTTTAGCAGTCATTACTCCGGTCTTTAAAGTCACATGATTCTTCAGAAAGCTATCTAATATACTGATTTCTTATTATTATCATCAATGTCGAAAACAGTTGGCCTGCTTAATATTTTTGTAGAAACTGTGATACATTTTTACAGGATTCTTTGATGAATACAAGTTCAAAAGAAAGGCATTTATGAAACAGAAATCTTTTACTATAAATGTCTTTACTCTAATTATTTTTTTCATCAATTGAATGCATCCTTGCTGAATAAAAGTAAAACTTATGTCAAAATATTACTGACCCACAAATGTTTGAACAGCAGACTCTGTATGTAATAACTTTTTTTGTTGTCATGTATTTTCAGTCTGACCTGCAGGACATTGTAGGCATTCATCTATACTGGCTGTCCCAGACTGTGGCTGCATTGTTCCTGGAGGGCAGGGGAACTGAGTGCCCTGTGATGTGCCTGTGGGGCAGAAATGCCCCGGTGGACATGGAAGAGGCTCTGCTACTGCTTCCCCTGCATTGTAATGCAATAGGATCAATTGTAATAGATTTATAAGAGCACAGAGATGGTTTTAAACAAATGTTCTTGTAGACAGAATAAATAACACACCCTGACAGTAGTAGCCTAATGGACATGGCTCACAATTTTCTCTGTGACTGTTGCCCATGACGGAGCTGTAAGTGCCTGCAGTGCAGGCCAGGGGCTTGTGTGTGCCTGTGGGGCAATAGAAACTGGCAGGACAGAGGCTCTGCTCCGGACTGTTGGAGCCCCAGTCACAGTAGTAGCCCGCAGAACATTCACCTACATGGTACAATAGAAATAGACAATAATAGAATATGACTCATGGTTGCATCATACAACTCCTAATTCTGGCATAATATCAATGCTTTAGTGGTATTGTAATGGTTTTCATCCAGGGTCTTTGAACTATCCTTTTCCACAAAGGATAAAAAAGCTAATCATTTTCTTTAAAATATTTTTTTACATTTGAATGAAAAAATAGAATCTAGAATATGAAAAATAGGGTTTGTGGGTATTGTGAGTGAATAGTAAGTGTATGTAAGTGGAATATTACTATTGTGAATTTTGTGTGTGTACCTCTGTAAAGTTTATCTGCTCTCTTGACTGCTCAAGATAAATTTCTCATTATGGAAACAAAGAAAGAAATTAAATTAAATGAACCATTATGCTCAATCAGATAAGGTTGAAAAGAAAAAGAAAAAAATGTATGTACACTCCCCCTTTCTGTGAAAACAAATTATTAAAATGAGAGAAAAAGGGCATGCAGAGCATTTTTGTCTTTGAGATAAGTTATATTTATATGATAAATTCATTAAATAATGATTTGATTATATAATGTAATAATAATTTATTTTTAATGATAATTTTTCAATAAGAAGTTTTTATAATATGTAGCTTTTCGAGGCTCCTTGGGTTGTCTGAGAGCCTTTTTGGGGGTCTCTGGGTCAGTAAAGGTTGAATACCCTTATGAAAACCCTTAAGACTCCTCCGTAGTGTTGTTATTGTTAACTAAAACTAAAATGGTTCATTCATTTAAATGAAGCTGAAATTAAATACATATATTAGATGAATAACTGAAATAAAAATTGATTTTTTTTTTGAAAATTCAATTGAAAATTCAATTGAAAATTGTGCAAAAATTGCTAAAACTAAAATGTTAGCTAAACACAAATATTTAAAAGCAACAAAAACTAATAAAAAAATGACAAAAGCACATAACAATTACAAAAAATAAAAAAAGAAGAAAATATACAAATAAAAGCTTATTAAAAATATTAATAAATAGTACAATATTGTATAAATTATACTAAAATAACACTGTTCCAAAGAGCACCTGCTCTTGTTCCCAGAAGGCAGTATGCCCCTGGTGGACACAAAGTGCCAGTGCTGTTGTCAGTGGGGTTGGGAACTGTGGCCTGCACAAAACAGAGGAATCCAGGAGCACAGGGCCCCGAGGGCTCAGAGAGTCCATCTGAACCGCAGAAATGTCCCATAGGACACAAAAGGCACTGCTCTGCATTTATACAAAAAAACAGACCCAGTAAGCAAGATATAAACAGAAGAATGCATTTAATCATGTTCACTTGCCCAGTTATTGCAATACAGAACAGAATAAATCACCTGCTGAAATGAGGCCAAGAGAATCACTGTATGTGCCTTTGGGACATGGAACTGGGTTTCCAGACTGAGTCTCATTGGGGCAGTAAAAGCCTTCAGGACAGACCAAAGGAGTGCTGACCCCCATAAAGCCTCTTGTGGGGTTGATGCAATGGAAACCTGGAGGACAGGGTTTACACTCACTCTGTCCCTTCTGATCCTGAAACTGACCTGCGAACAAACAACAGCAACAATACATAAAAAGACCCATGAGTAGAATCGATTTTGCATTTGACCTCTTCTAGAAATGGTAGTAACTTCCCAACTTAAGTAAATTTCACTTAAATGGAGCCTTATAAAGTCAAAGGAGCAGACAGTTTATCTCTAAAATGGAGTATCACAGTACCTCCAGGGCAAGGCATGCAATCATCTGTGCCCTTTCCCCCACTATCAGGGCGCCGGCTGCCCACTGGGCAGGGAGTTGGCACAGCACTACCAATTTCACAGTAGTGACCTGTAGGACAAATATCACCATACACGGCTGACACGGGAGCTGAAGTCTGAGATCCTTCACTGCAGTAAAACCCTGTAGGAATACAACGTGCCATATTAATATTCAACTTAAAGAAGTCCTGTGAAGGCCTAAAAAATGTCTGCTGTAAATTATATTCAAACCTGGCAAGCAGGGTCCACTGACTGTGGTCAGACCTGGCTCTGAGCAATAAAACCCTGGTGTGCAGTTTTGGCATTGACTTACATCTGACAATTGACGCTGATTGCTGCAAAACAATTACACTTTTATTTTTAAAATTGCAGTTAACAGAATTATATTTTTAATAAAAAATGTGAATTAATCACAATTATTAAAAAAATATAATGCAATGCAATTAATGTTATCTTTTTTAGCTGCTTTTAATATAAAGAATTTTTAAAAAATTTCAGTTGTTTTGTATTGTAATGTGTCACATCGATACCTAAATGTGCCCTTGGGACAAGGTATTCCTGCAAAACTTCCAGCTGGACAGTAAGACCCAATTGCACATGGTATTCCAGTCTCATTATCATTTGGGGAGGGAAGGACGGCTCCTCCAAAACACAAGAATCCAGCACTGCAAGAGCCAGTTGGTGACACATTTCCTGGACAGAGAAACTAATATCAGCTCCACATATCAGACCAAGCATGCAGGATTAGTATGTTCTCTCTGGGGAAAATATAATCATTGTTCATGCGTCATACCTGACCCCATACAATAGGTCCCAGGGTCACATTGAGAGCATTCAGAAGACTCAGCCAATCCAGACAGGTTCCCATAACTCCCTGGAGGACATGGATGCTGATTAGATGCCCCAACTGGACAATAAAATCCAGGCTGACATGGGAGTGGGTGCGTCATACCTAGTACAAGAAAAACATCCTTATGTAAAGGCATAAAGAACACATATATTTCATCCATTAATTTGTTGAAATATCATTCATACCGTTTTCAGGACAGAAAAAGCGGGTAGGGCACACTTCACATCTATAATGGCCTAGACTGGGTTGGAAGCTTCCTGGGAAACATGGCCTCTCTATGATGTTGCCCTGTTAGAGCATTAACAATATTATGAGTATGTTTTATAAAGGTCACTGTCATTTTTATATTCACTTTTAACATATTAAAGTGCCCCTATTATGCCATTTTTAAGGTTGCTAATATTGTATTATGAGTCTCCTAAAAAACACGTTAGTTCCCTTTCGAAAGGGAACTCCACGCTGCGTCCTCTAGAGGCGTGACCGGTGTCTGAAGCATGAATGAAAAACGACAATGAACTTGGCTGTGTCTGAAATCGCCCCCTATACCCTCATTCACTATTCCCTACATTAGGTCACTAATTCAGTTCACTAGAAGGAGTGAATGAAAACGAGTAGTGAATTCGGATACTGAGTGCACCGGAAGGAATGCTGCTTTTGCATAGTTTGTGCTTGCTGTTTATTAATCATTTGAAACTAGCAAACTAGCAGCTCCAGTAGTAAAATTAAAGGATTTATCTTGAACTCTGTCACGGAAATTATGTATAAACCCTAATCAAACAATTTAATAATCAATTTACAATGAATTTATACCCGTGTTGTACATTATGCTGTACGCCATGGATGAGCGCTTTGTAAAACGGATTGATTATTCAGCTGCGGGCGCCATCTTCTGGCTAGATGCGGGAATTCATTCAGCGCGTGACTCTCACGGTGCATTATGGGCATTCTCTAGCTGTTGAGCGTGCACCCGTTGTACACTCGTTTTTGCAGTGCATTGTGGGATTGAATGAGTGCACTCGAGAACGTCCTCCGCTCCGCTTAGGCAGTGATATGAGTTCATAGTCTCTTTCTTTTTAAGCCTCACTAACTGCCTCTGGCATTGAGTGTAGTCAGGTCTCCTCTCGTTTTAGAGAGTCGTTAGGCTGAAACCTCCATTCTTAAGAGCTCCTAAACTAGGATTGAGTGTTGTTAGGCTTCCTCTCGGTTAAGAGAGTCATTCTGCTGAAGCCTCCGCTCTCCAGAGCTCCGCTTAGGCAGTACTATTAGTTTGTAGGTTCTTTGGTGAGCCGCGCTAACTGTCTCTAGCACTGAGTGTACTCAGGTCTCCTCTCGTTTTAGAGAGTCGTTAGGCTGAAACCTCCATTCTTAAGAGCTCCTAAACTAGGATTGAGTGTTGTTAGGCTTCCTCTCGTTTAAGAGTCATTCTGCTGAAGCCTTCGCTCTCCAGAGCTCCGCTTAGGCAGTACCATTACTTTGTAGGTTCTTATGTGAGCCTCGCTAATTGTCTCTAGCGCTGAGTATAGTCAGGTCTCCTCTCGTTTTAGAGGGTCGTCAAGCTGAGATCTCCACTCTTAGGAGCTTCTCAACTAGGGTTGAGTGTTGTTAGGCTTCCTCTCATTTAAGAGAGTCATCCTGCTGAAGCCTCTGCTCTTCAGAGCTCCGTCTTTGGCAGTAATAAGAGTTAGTAGGCTCTTTCTTTTTGAGTCTCACTAACTGCCTATGCCATTGAGTGTAGCTAGGTCTCCTCTCGATTTAGAGAGTCGTTATGCTGAGACCTCCACTCTTAAGAGTCCCCTACCAGGGTTGAGCGTTGTTAGGTTTCCTCTCGTTTAAGAGAGTCATCTTGCTGAAGCCTCCGCTCCCCGGAGCTCCGCTTAGGCAGTAATATGAGTTGTAGGCTCTTTCTTTTTGAGACTCACTAACTGCCTCTGGCGTTGTGTGTAGCTAGGTCTCCTCTCGCTTTAGAGAGTCGTTATGCTGAAACCTCCCCTCTTAGGAGCCCTCAGCTATGGTTGAGTTTTGTTATGCGTCCTCTCGTTTAAGAGAGTCATTCTGCTGAAGCGTCCACTTTGCATAGCTCCAGCTTAGGCAGTATTAATGTGTAGGCTCTTGAGCCTCACTAACTGCCTCTGGCGTTGTGTGTAGCTAGGTCTCCTCTCGCTTTAGAGAGTTGTTATGCTGAGACCTCCACTCTTAGAGTTCCGTACTTTGGTAGGTGAGCTAGTCTATGACGCTGGCGAGCTTTGAGTCTGCCTGTAGAGGTTTGTGGCTTGGGTCCTGGCAAAATCGATTTGACTGGTGTTCCTTGAGTCCTTGACTTAAGGAATCCAGTTTTTGGGCACTCATCCCTCAGCATGGCGGTGTGGGTAGACCATTCCCCTAGCACCCTCTAGAGGACGCAGAGTGGAGTTCCCTTTCGAAAGGAAACGTCTCAGGTTACGCATGTAACCATGGTTCCCTGAGAACAGGGAACGAGACGCTGCGTCTCATTGCCAAGCTTCGGGCATTCATGCCTGCGTCTCCTTCAGACAAAGAAGTGGATGACGTTTTCCGCAGGTACGCTTTTATACCCACACTCGCTTTATTGTTTACGTCATAGGCTGCCGCCTGCCAATGTCAAGTTCATTGTCGTTTTTTCATTCATGCTTCAGACACCGGTCACGCTGAAGGCGTTCCCCTAGTGCCCTCTACAGGACGCAGCGTCTCGTTCCCTGTTCATAAAAATAAATAAATAATAGTTCAAATGTGTATATGGTGAGATTTCCACTTACACTTTCACAGAAGTGGCCTGCACCACACACAAACTCTGGTGGTCTGGATGTGTTCTGTCCTCCAGGGCAGTAATAGCCCTCAGAACACAGACCAGAGGGCTTGGCTAGGCCTCTTCGTTCACAGAAATATCCTGGTGGACATTCAAGGCAATCATCTGCAATGGATCCTCCAGCAGAGTCTAGTGAGTATTAAAACAGTGGAACCATAAAGCTTCCGGAAAAATTCAAACAATTAAGTGACTCATACTATAAGAAAGTGATTGATAAGCATCCAGCCACAGTGTTTTAATTGGTTAATGGCAAGTAAAATGTTAATAGGCAATAAAGACAGGGATGCAAATGTAGGGCCGGCGCCAAAGGGGGTGGGGGGTGGCTGCATGAGGGGGCGTCGCCCCTCGCTCAGACTATCCCACCCCTCACTCAAGATGAGTGTGAAAATAGATTTTAATTACAAAATATAATAGTTTATTTTTAAAAAAATGCTGCCAGGTACATAGGCTTTATAGCATTAATATTATGCTACTATAGCAACAATTTAGGGCAGTCCGTTTTACAAAGTCATATTTTAATTGTTACATTTGACACACAAACTTCCCGCACAACTAAGTATGCAGCTCTACTAAGTAAGCTAAAGATATGATGAAATAATTTTTTTAATGTTTAATAGAGGGCTAGATGATCGTAGTTAGTTGATTACTTCGCTGTTATTGTTTGTTGCTGTTCAAGTTGTTCTAGCTTACCATCAAATAATTGCATCTGTTAAATGGGTCGCAATGAATATGTGTTACGTCATCGGTTTCAACAAGTGTGTGTTTTATAGTAAAGAAGACACAATTAAGTATTTCTGGTGGTGGTGGCACTTGTCTGTATTTGTGGTGAAACTACTGCCTAAGACTAAAATGTGTTTATTTCCTGGATGTCAGATTTTTTAATATATTGGCTCTATGCGATTTTGTTTTATGTAATATTATTCAATACTCCACCATCTGTATTTGCTAAGTAGCTTTTAGCAGGGTCATTCACTCAGAATGCATTTTTTCATTCCACTGTGGTACTTTTCCATTGTATTTCAATGTAAACGCGCTATGGACATCTTTGAATGCTGCACTTAACTCAGGTCTTTATAGCAGCTTCTCGCGCATGATCATTCTGAAACACGGTGCTAAAGTTCAAAGAAGTTCAGCCTTTAGACCTTGCGCTTTTTAAATTCTGCCTGTGTTCTAATAGTTGTAGTAGTAGTGGGCAGGTTTGCTTACGGTCCGACAAATATGTGAATGTGTCACATATGTTTTTTAATTGGGATAGTTTTCTGTGCTATATCATCGCAACCTTTCATAACTTCAGCCGCCTCCTCATCAGTGCGTCTGCTCTAGACAAGAGGTCAAACATCTATTGCATTACGGATATAAAGAAAGATCTATAGAATGTAACTATGAAGAAATGCTGGTAGATACTGTAGATAAATTTAAGATTTACTATAATGACCAGGATCAATTTATTTTGTAAAATAAATTAAATGTAAATGTATCTTTTAAGCTATAATCAGTAATGAAATTCCTTGCTATATATTTTAATTATCAATTATTAATGATTTGTCCATTTAGCCCTAAGTAGCAAGTAGTTTACTTACTCCTTATTGTGCCTTGTGGACAGGGCAGGGGTTGTGGTGTGCCCTGGGGACAATAGTGTCCAGGAGGACAAAGCATAGCACTGGGATTTGAGGAGCCAGTGGAGCAGAAGAATCCAGCAAAACAGAGGCCTGCAGGAGTGTGCAGGCCAATCTGATTACAATAAGAGCCTGAATCACAGGGCTGAGGAAGAGATGAACCCACTGGGCAATATGACCCTGCAGAAAAGATTCAATGAGCTTTAGCAATCAGTACATAATAATCATAATCTTATACAGATTTAGATAAATAGTTCACCATATTGAAAATTCCATACTTTGAAATAGAGATGTCTGATTTGTGAACAAATCATCAATGAATGATAAAAAATCTAAATGACTTCTTAATGAATGACTGTCAGACCTGTGTTCCTGTTGTGTTGTGTTTTGCTCCCCGTGCCTTGACCCAGTTTCTTCCGTGTCTGATTGTGCCCATATTTGGTTCTTCCTGTTCCTGTTCTCATTGAGTTCTATTTGATTCAGCTGTGTGTCGTTTATTTCCTCATTAGTTCCGATTACTTAAGCCCAGTGTTTTCCTATGTCTAGACTCCAGTGTCTAACGTCCATCCCTTGTGCTTCGT